TCCGTTGGAAGGACCAAGTGGAGAAGGACCTAGCTTCACTTGGAATATCTAATTGGCGCCACGTAGCGAAAAGAAGAAACGACTGGCGCGCTGTTTTTAACTCGGCTATAATCGCGTAAGCGGTGTCTACGCCAATCGAGAAGAAGAAAATGGAGTATAATGCGCATACGCTATTATTCTTTTAACAACTTTGCAGTGGCAATTTATTGAAGGAAATTTTTGAGCATGAAATTATACACAATTTTTTCCAATGACACTTTGACCCACTTTGTGGAAGTAGAATTTGACGAAATTTTGACCAGACATAGAATCAATGATGGATATTCTAAATATGCAATAAAAAAAATAGTGGCGTATGASCACATACGCTATTGTTATATTGAGGGGACGATATATGCCAATAGTCACCACTTTCATATGTACATACCTTACATACCGAAGCAAAGTGAGAAACAAAATTAATGTGACATACACCCGAATGTATGTATAAACGGCATAAATAAAATTTTACATATTAACCAAAAGTGCATACCTGCACTTCACCGATTTTCTATTACCGCGTTATCCGTACGGCGAATAATATCATACATATGTCTATGCCGGTATATAAAAAGTACATAGGGTACAAAATTAAATTAAAATTTCACAAATTTTACAAAATTCCGAGAAAATAAAGCGGTAAATGCAAAATTTTAATTTATTAAAAATTTTAAAATTTGATAATTAAAAAAACTTACAGTCAAAATAAAACAAAAAATTGTAAGAGTTGGTAGAAAGAAAAAGCAAATACATACGTGTTGACATTTTCACGTTTTCACACACACATACATACTTATATTCAAAGTCCAAATCGGCACCTGTCCAGCATTACCCCTTGTTCTTGTTAAAGCAGAAGCATTGCAGTCCTGCTTGCAAAACAAAAATAAATAAATTTTTAGCATCTTACGTATGCACATAAACACGCACATATTGTGCAAACTCATATACAAAGGTCATCAACCTTTTTCTCCTTTTGCATTTACCAACGAGTACGAAACATTAAATAAAATAAAAAACAAGAACAAACTGGTAGCTAAATACATAAGCACCGGGAATAAGTAAAACGAAATCTGCGTTCGTTATTTGATACATTGCGCATACAACAAAAATAAAATAAATAAGACTTAAAGATTACCAGAAATACATTGAGAGAAGTTTTTTCTTTCTCATATTTTAAATTTTTACCTATAATATTATCTAAATGAACGGACATTCTAAGGAATCTAAATCGATACAATATCTGAAAGTACAATAAACGATTTCTGAAGAAAAGAGCCCATGTACACCTGCTGAAGCTACACGCTCAAAGCAAGGTACTACAAAGCATAAAAAAGTTAAATATATTTCATAAACTAAATTTATTGCTGAGAGTGACAGTATAATTCGATACTGCACTAGATTTTCATCTTCGCCGATTCAAGATAATTCTAAATAGGTCTTCGAAATAAATAAAGAAAATCTAAGAAATTTCTGGACACGTCTCCAAGCTGCGAATGACGCACTTCCACAATCTGACGAATCAGATCTACCGGAAAATTTTACATCCTCGGCTTGCTCCAAATACGAAAACTGCTTAGATCAGTACGAGGAAACAAGAGCTATGATCTCCGATTAATTGAGATTAATTAAAGCAATTGCACCTACTCCATAACCGAGAGTAGAGCTGCCACAAATTCAAAGCCAAGAGGCGAGTTCAGGCATTCATCTCAAAGTGCCAGCATGTGATACAGAAATATTTCACGGAGGTTATGAATAATGGCCGTCCTTCCGGGACATATTTACGGCCGTATATATAAACCATCCTAAATTATCATAAGCGCAAAAATTGTGTCACCTCCGATACAAAACAAAAGGTCAAGCAGGCGCAATAGTCAAACAGTTCGCTCTTAATGACGAAAAGTTCAATTATGCTTGGGAAGCTCTAAAAGCTCGTTACGAGAACGAAAGAATGTTAGTCGACAAAGAAGTCACAATAATAATGAATTTTCCAAAAGTTCAGAAAGAAACAAGTGAAGAATTTATAAAACTTCAATCCACTGTTTCAAATTGCTTGTCGGTTCTAGCGACACAAAATATTCCCACAGACAATTGGGACCCCATTCTGGTAAATATATGCACATCGGCATTACCAGAAAAATCGTTCCTTTTGTCAATCGCTCTCAT